ATGAGTACAAATTACAGAGATATGAATTGACTTAAATGCCCCTATAAAACTAATTAAAGATTACAGTTAATGAAATAAAACTAATTAAAGATAGGCATAAAAATAGTAGATTGAAGGCACTTTAGAACAGCACGTTAATAGTGAATAGATTAGGGAGATGACACACAAAACTATAACGAATGGAAGAATAAGATTCATGTAGTCGATGCAAGAATTTCGAGACAAAGAATGTTGCAATTGTTATCTACAACTTACTTTGTATTTTTTAGAAATAGAGTTATTACTCTCAAAATGAGTTTTTATGTAATTAGGAACGGATTTGCATGTTGTCCAAATAGGACAAAATATATGTCTACTTGGAACTTTGGGGGTGTTTGGTTCAATTTCTAGAAATTATAGGAAATATTTTCCATCTAAATTATGATTTCCTTGTATTTCTTAAAAAAAATATGGGAAAAGTTTTGAGAAATAAAAAAGTATCAATTTTCTTGTTTTTTGTACTTTGCTTGTTTGGTTCAAAACAAGAAAATGACTCATAACTTTATAGAAAAATAACAAGATTTGGTAGGTTTTTAATTAAATATGGTATGTGTCAGATTTCTGGTGATTTCCTCTCATTTTGAGAGGAAATTGTTTTTTGTAAAATTTGATAAGTTTTGATATTTTATAGAAAATATTTCTGTAAATTTTTTGTTGAACCAAACACAATTTACAGAAATCTCTGAAAAACTTTTAATTACAAATTTGCCATTGTCAGATGTTTTGAGAAAAGTTTTCTCAAAAAGTGTACAACCAAACAGCTCCTTTAAGTGAATACTAGCACATTGCCATGTGCAAAAATGTTAATTTGTTATCCAAATAATTTTCTATTATACATATTAATCATTCAATAATAATTTAATTTATATAATGTTATTATAGAGTTCGTTGTAGAAAATGTATTTCAAACTAGTATTTAGTAATACATTCAACAAAAAATCTCAAACATTACTTTGTGAAGAATTTGCTTATTGTGAGGATAACATATTAGGGGTAAGTGATTAAAATAAAAAAGAAAATAGATAGTATTGCAATTTAATTATGTGAGCTTAATTCCTATTCTCAATTAATGATTTAGAATGCTCTAGAAATACAAAAAAGGGAAAAAAAACTAGAAAAGAAAGTAAAGGAGGAAAATCTCTTTTGCAAAATTAAAACTTTAATTGTGTGAGTTCAAATCATATTCTCATGTCATGATTTTAGAATTCTCTAGAAATAATAAAAAGAAAAAAAAATCTCATGTAAAACATTATAATTTTACCTCACAACATTATAAATTTACCCTCACTAAGTTCATTATATATTAGCATAGATTAATAGATATCATGTTGCATCTAATGAAAGGAAATACCATCCTTACCCTTGTACGGAGCTAGGTGTGCATAATATATATTTAAAAAATAAATTATGTTGGCCGTACTAAATCAAAACAGTCATGGTTTTTTAATTCATAAATTAGGAATACCTCTTGGAGGTGAAGGCCGTGGGCGGCCCATAGAAGCAATGTTACAATTGGCTCGCCTTCCATCAATTATCGGGTTCGGATCCGACACGGACCGTCTCGCTGATTCCGGGTCCCGAAAAGTCACCTGGTCGTTATAGTAAATATATAATTTTTTAATTGCAATGTAATCTTTCTTTGATAAAAGATGCCGCAGGCAAGTAGCTAAAAGTTATCATATTCCAGCATAAACCAATGGCAAGAGTCATCATACAACAGGCGTTTGGACAAAAGAAAAATATGTTATCCGAACAAAAATCTCCATATCTTTCTAGGTTTCTTCACGTTTCCACACTTTTCCAAAGTGTTGGTCCAAAATTTGTAGCATTAATCAACAATTGACATATTACACCTCTCTGCCACTACTTTTGCACTTTCTTGCACGCAATTTATTTGTATGTATATACAAACACAAAGAGAGTACAAGTACAGTAAGATAGTCGCCCAGAATACAAGACAATTTTGGAAGGCAGGCGAAAGACCATTTCAGCGCTCATCCGGATCATCAAAAATCTAAAGTGTGAAAAGGGAACAGGTTTACATTTTAATTTTCAGCGGACTAATCTAAATCATCAAGAAAGAAATACTAGTAATTAAAATTGTCTAAGATTAGAGGATCACAAATAATATAAACAAAATGGAATTATCACGTTAATTTGTCTTCGAACGTATAAATGATAAATCTATACATATCAAATCTGATCATGAGAAAGTGTTTAATTATCACAACATACATGGGTTAATTTTGGTATGGTTGATCCTAGATTCAAGATCAGGCTATGTGTACAAAGATAATAATCATGCATCATGAGGGCCAGAGAAATCAACCAAATAATCAATAAGAATTAATAAGAACGGAAATATGTATACTTACAAAGCCATAGCCCTTTGATCTCCCAGTGTTCTTATCAGTGATGATGACAGCCTCAAGAATCTCTCCAAACTGCTCAAAATACCTCCTCATCTCCTCTGTGGGGGTCTCCCAAGCCAAACCCCCTACAAAAACCTTGGTCAAGGTTGTATCTCCGAACCTTGATCTATGTTGTTGTGGACTCAAGCTAGCCATCTCTCTCTCTCTCTCTCTCTCTCTCTCTCTCTCTCTCACCCCCGGCCTCCTCCTCTTTCTCTCTCTACGAACTAGCTTGTATGTAAATATATATACCTTATATAACTGACCCTAGCTTGGTTTTGATCTCTGCGTCTTCTTCTATGGTAGCTTGATCATCTGCTTCCATATCAAAGAGAGAGAGAGAGAGAGAGAGAGAGAGAGAGAGAGAGAGATTAGGATTATGAAGGAGGAGGATTGGAATCTAAAATTAGAGAGGCTAGGCTAGCAAAAGGGAGTCTGATCCGACAAGTGCAAGGGGTTTCTTCGCTGTATCAAAGAGGGGGTTGAGATATAAGAATGACAGCTTGCTCTCTGGCCCTCGCTCCCTCTCTCTCTCTCTCTCTAAACTCTCTCTCTCCCTCTCTCTCTCTCTAAACTCTCTCTCACAAAACTCTCTCCCACTTGTCTCTCCTCTGTCCTCACTGTCTCTTGCTCATTTCATTAATATTAATAATATACATCAGCCCACTCTTTATAGCCTAAATAAAATTAAGGCTCGATATGAGCTGAGGGTTAAGTACTAGGAAGGTTTCTTTTTGGTATTTTGTGGGCTATGTTGTTTTCATACCCATTCTTTGAATTATTTTGTTTTTGTGTCCATATATTTTAGAGGTTTTTTTTATGAATCTCATAAATTACATATGATTTGTATTTAACATTTGGATTAAAAATAATAATAATAATAATAATAAGTTCAATTAATTGACTTTTCTTTCTGAAAGGTTAACTACATATATACTAGACAAACTTAAGAAAACTATAGATTTTTTTTGTGAATAATATACATCAATCCATAAGAATACAAGCCTACAAGGATATGTTAATAACTCAGACAAATATGACAAATTTAAAAATAATATAAAAAGCATTATATTGCAAAAGTAACAAGACTGTGTCATATCTAACTAAGGTTGTCAATGTGCTTGATGTAATTTTTAGGATTATGAGAAATAGGTTTTTTTTACTTAAATATTAGTCCCTTGAATCTTTTTAGTGTATTTTGAAACTAGTCCCTCAAATCACAAAAATTGCTATAACTAGATCGCTAATTAAGAAAACCCCAAACAAATAATATAAAATGTATATCAAAATAAAATTATGGGCTTAAAAAGTAACCAACATAGACAATGGGACTAAAGTAGAAAATAAATTTTAGATGAGGATTATATACTAGTTTTATCTGTAATGGTAATTAATATTTTCTTTATTTGCCAAATTACCTATCTGGCCAGCATGTGAGCCAGAGAGGAAGGGGATTAAGATACGAGTCCCCAACCTGGGTGTGATTCATAGTGTGGGGTCCATTCGCTTGTGTCAACCATTTTCACATTTTCGTTGTTTGGCTTTCTTCTGGTCGCTGTCATGGACTTCGAACTAATCAAAAGACTTCTTCACCCTCAACCAAATTTATTGCTTCATTAACAAGCTACTTATGTGGAAGGAAAAAGTCACCCACTCCAAGCATTATCCATTTGCACACATTTTTTGGCGTTTATGCATCAAATTTAGCAATATTTTTTCTACTCACCATCTTCCTATTTGTTTGTTCCTATCGCTAATCAAATGATGTGTCTGGATGGAGGTTAGAGAAGGAAAGAGGAAGAAAACTTTGATTTTAATCTTGTTTAGGAGTTTTATTGGGATGGTAGATAAGGGGAATGTGGAAAAATTTTAAGCTAAAATCCTATACCCCAAATCAGACGTTTAAAAAGGGAAAAATTTTGACAATTTCTCTTCCCTTTCCGTATGTTCCTTCCCTTCTCTTAGTGAACTCCAAACAAGCTGAAAAAGAAGCAAAATGGAGCGAATTTTTAGGGTGTACAATTTTCTCTTGGCTCTCATCTTACTTTCGTTGTTCCGCGAAAACTATCTTAATATGTACCAAAGCAACTGTAGACGTCGAAAATTGCCTATAGGTCTCAACGAACAGCTCGGTGCTAAGAAAAAACGATGAACGTCACTATCCAAGTTACAGAAACTTGATTGATGTCGACGAACGCTTGAAGTGAATCGACGAACTACGTGAAGTAGCGAAGTTTCAGAATAACGAGGATACGAACTGATCGGGAGCCCAGTGTCGCTTACAAAAGGCGAAACGTCGCTCGTATCCCAGTTTAATCCACAATGGTCTACACCATCGAAGTTTATAGATCTCCTCGCCGGCTTTCCAACGCACTTTGGATCACTCAAATCCGAGTTCGGATGAAGAAGTTACGGCGGAAATGGACAAGTGTGCAAAACGAAGCGTCTCAGCCTAAGTTGAGACACCCCGAGGTGTCTCGGCCCAACCGAGACACCCAAGGGTGTCTCGGCCTCGCTGAGACACCCAAGGGTGTCTCCAGCCTTAAAAATTGATCGTTATGCGGTTTTAACCGCCCGGACTTCCTGGAGCCTATAAATACAGCCCCAGGACTTTGTTTTTTGGGGGATCTGGAATTTTGGAGAATTGGCGAAGCCCTGCCGGACTGAATATTAAAGGTGCACGAATTTCAGAGAGGATGAGGAGAGATCGGATCGAGTTCGTCGGTTTAAAGAAGAGGAGCTCGTCAGATCTGCAGTTCCCCGGGTTCGTTCCTTAAGATTATCCCGTTGCGGTAATCTTAAGAAGAGCAATTATCTCGCCGTTGCCGATATAAGCGCTACGGTTTCTTGATTCCTTCGCGAATCAACGAAGCTCTGTCCGATTTTTTAACAATCAGATCTGATCGACGGTGGTCCACAGATATCAACATCACCGTCACAGGCCAAGATCCCACACAAGCAAAAGACTGATAAACGATCTCTGCGTTGTTTGAAGAGAATTGTACTTTTGTTTTGTTTTTATTGTGTAAAGGTCTTATAAAAAGACTAATTTTTATTTTCATTGTAAACGTCTGAAGTTTGTAATGAATCCCGCAATGAAACAATCAATTTTCTCCGCAAACAGTAACTTATATTCAAACCTCAAACACACAAAAAGAATGAGTTTTTAAAATATAGCAATATATAAATTAGCTCAGATTGCGGTCCATAAACGAACACGGTCTATATAAATCATGTTACATATAAAATTATAATCCTTAACTCTTAATAAAATATATATTAATATCAATATCACAATTAATAGAGTTTATAGTAAAATTTCAAACTAGAACATCATTGACAGTTTATGAATTTTCAATTAGAAACAGCTGGATTAATATTCTAAATGAGAAATTATTGTTTAACTATCAACTGTATCAAACTGCTAACTTGTGTAGGTCCTTCGTTTATAGGACAGCCTTGAGCTTGCAACGGAGTTTTTTTGAACCAACTTTCTTTAGCAATGATTTTAATTTGGAGCCATCGCTTGGGACGCGGCGACAGCTTGGATGAAACGCTTGGACTCTTTTCTTCAGAGGTTTTGTCATGACAGCCTGCCACGTGGTTCTCTCTCAATGTTAATTATGGGCTAATTTCGTGATTGTAGGACCTAATGTCCACATTTTGCGAATTGTATTTTCTGAGTAGTAATCTTTGCTACCCTAGCCTCTCGTTTTTAATTGATGTATGGCTAACGTCTTCACACACCATTAACGTATTCATATCGTAGTCGACAATTCGAATACATGGCACTTAGAGCGATAGATGATCCTCTGCTTTCTCTAAAATTTTATCCTAATCTTAAAAAGAACTGTGAAACAAATCACAATATTTTATGTTCATCTAATTTCTTTTATTTAAAGCATATCTTAAGTCGAAGATTAATAAACAACATTTCACATGTTAAAATTGGGAGTTGGAGCCTATATAGTTCCCGTAGTCTCAGTAAAGATGTTCCCAACCTTTCGCTTAAAAGGTAAAATAAAAGTAAGGGGGAGAAAAGAGAAATATTTTTCTACGATTGACTGTTTTTTTCGTAAGATAAAAGCTATTTTTTCCATTTCGAAGAAACTCCCATCAATCGTCATTGAAGAAGATTTGAAAAGACTAGCAGAAGAAGGACTATAAATAAATTTGAATCAATATAAAACTTAGAGATTTAACAATAAACAAAGATAATTGTAGATTGTTCTATTTACACAATCTCATTGTATCGCTTATTATTCCTCAAGTTTGATGGGCTCAACGATCTTCATGGATTATGCTCATTGCTGATTTACATTCAAAAATAAATCACTACTATTCATTAAATAGAAATTAATGCATGTCATAAAAAAATGATTACGGGTTGTATCATCCATTAATGGAGCCGAAAATTTCCGTTCAAAGGGCGACGGAGACCTCACGAGTTCTGACATTTTGATGATTAGCCGTTCTTATTTTCCACCGTACTATTAAATACCCTTTCTTGTGGGACCCACAGAAAGAAGCCAATGGGTGACAGTCACCCCCCTCACCCCCAATGTAAGAGAGCCAACAGCAAAGCTGCTGCTCTTCTTCTGACTCCCCTCACGTGACCACGTGCAGTTGTAACGTGGTCGACATCCTCCCATCAGCTGAGCAATTCAAACACACAACAGGTTTCGCCCGTCGGGTATCGTCCAAAAGAAAGGAAAGGAGGAGCTCCACGTGGCGCGTGGAGTTCCCTCAAAAAGGTTTCGGATCCCCTGCATCTATGGCTGTATCCGGCCCCATCTTCAATTCACAGCCAATCCCAATGAGACGCGTGGGTGGCTAAAGCTCTTTAAAGATTATCGGCTGCAATTAAGGGGTAGTTAGAGGCTACAATTAACCGGCAATGCTAACGACGCTTGCCAGCAGCCTGATTTCCTTTTCCCACCTCTTTATCAGAGAAAAAAAGATTTTATATTCAGAGCACATGGCAAAATATATCACAATCTCACTGCTCTAATTTGGCAAGAAAATAATTCATTATACTTTCAATTGTACTTCTATGATAAGGAGAATGAACTATAAAATTGAATGAGAATATAAGATAATATAAATATGAGTGAAATCACAACTAAAAGTTAATGTGAATATGAGTCAAACTATAACTAAAAATTTAATACATATATTAATTGCAAGTAAATTCATATGTAAAATTTCTTTGTGAATTGAATGATCACTCATCTTTTGAAGATTTCAAGATATTAATAAACAGAGATGTTGTACTACATCAATGTGTGTTTATAACTCACAAATAGTAGATCACGTGGCCGTAGTCTGAGTTGAAGGAAACAATGACAACTTTTTATTTGAGAGATAGATTATTAAGTTAATGATCAATCCCACAAAAGACTTAATTTTTTTTATTTATATTTTATCAATTTAAATAATCATCATATTTAACCACGTGCATCTCGGCTAGTATTATAATATATATATATATATATATGGAGAGGTTTAAATAAAAACCTAGAGAACTAAAAACCAATCCTAACCCTACATTCT